AATTTATAATAACTCAATAAGTGTTTCCCAACTTTGACAATTTTAAGATAGATGAATGTCAACTCCCAAAATTCCCTAGCCACATGCTGGTTGGAGATTTCTGGGAATTGAAGTCCACACATCTTAAACTTGCCAAGGTTGAGAATCACTGACCTAGAGAAGGATCTTGACAGACTTGAACATTGGGCGCTATCTAACAAAATGAAATTCAATGGTGAAAAAAGTAAGGCTCTATATTTAGGCAAGAAAAACTAAAAACACAGGTAGTATAGGGGATACCTTGCTCAATAGTAGTAACTGTGAGAGGGATCTCGGAGTCCTAGTGGACAATCACTTAAATATGAGCCAGCAGTGTGCCACAGCTGCTAAAAAAGCCAACACAGTGCTAGACTGCATTAACAGAGGGCCAGAATCAAGATCACGTGAAGTGCTAATAATTTACAATGCCTTGGTAAGGCGACACTTGGAATACTGCATCCAGTTTTGGTCACCACAATGTAAAAAAGATTTTGAGACTCTAGAAAGAGCACAGAGAAGAGCAACAAAGATGATTGGGGATTGGAGGCTAAAACAGATAAGGAATGGTTGCTGGAATTAGGTATGTCTAGTTTAATGAAGAGAAGGATGAGGGGTGACATGATAGCAGTGTTCCAATATCTCAGGGGTTGCCACAAAGAAGAGGGAGTCAGGCTATTCTCCAAAGCACATGAAGACAGGACAAGAAGCAATGGATGGAAACTAATCAAGGAGAGAAGCAACCTGGAACTAAGGAGAAACTTCCTGACAGTTAGAACAATTAACAAGTGGAACAATCTGCCTCCAGAAGCTGTGAATGCTCCCACATTGGAAGCTTTTAAGAAGAGACTGGATAGCCATTTGTCTGAAATGGTATAGGGTTTCCTGCCTGCGCAGGGGGTTGGACTAGAAGACCTCCAAGGTCCCTTCCAACTCTATGATTATGATTATGATTTGCTGCCTGACTTCCAGAGTATCTGGGAAAGTTGGTGTCTCAGGGCCTGGTATGTCTATCCTAATTTATGGGATGTGTTATTTAGATGGTGGGTTTCAAGATAGTTTCTAGGTTAAAGATCCTTGGTGGAGTCCTTGATGCCTTCTGAGCTTGGTTGCTTCCTTGCGGACTTTTCAACACCCTGATAGATAATATCACCAGTGTGTGAGGCTGTGCTCATAGACAAATATCCACCTGCCCTGTCAAAATTTCAGTCGATCCCCACGAGATACCACTGAAAACAGCATGGTGTGGAGAAAAATAAGAGCTAAACCAACTAAACCCTGAGTTAAACCAAATCAACTAGTGGGTAGTTGAGACTCTAGTGAGACTCTAGAAAGAGTGCAGAGAAGAGCAACAAAGATGATCAGGGGACTGGAGGCTAAAGCATATAAGGAACGGTTGCTGGAATTGGGGATGTCTAGTTTAATGAAGAGAAGGACGAGGGGGGACAGGATAGCAGTCTTCCAGTATCTCAGGGGCTTCCCCAAAGAAGAGGGAGTCAAGCTATTCTCCAAAGCGCCTGGAGGCAGGACAAGAAGCAACGGATGGAAACTAATCAAGGAGAGAAGCAACCTAGAACTAAGGAGAAACTTCCTGACAGTTAGAACAATTAACCAGTGGAACAACCTGCCTCCAGAAGCGGTGAATGCTCCAACAGTGGAAGTTTTTAAGAAGAAACTGGACAGCCATTTGTCCAAAATGGTATAGGGTTTCCTGTCTGAGCAGGGGGTTGGACTAGATGACCTCCAAGGTCACTTCCAACTTTACCATTATTATTATTATTATTATTATTATTATTATTATTATTATTATTATTATTATTATTATTATTATTATTATTATTATTATTATAGTCAAAAATAGTGGTGATGCAAAAAATGATGCTCTCGTTAAGAAGCTGAAATTACTTTCTCACGACATCACTCACAACAGCTGTAGGATGACCCCAATTATACCTAAGTCCTTGCTTGCCCCCACCCCCACCTTCCTTGCAGGAAAACTCATGGCTCTTCCTTTTCTACTCAGTCACCAGGGGGACTCTTTATACCAGGAGTACCCAAACTTTTCAGTTCATCAACCCTTTTGTGAAGTTTCAGATTGTTCACTGAGCCTGAAAAATTCATTAAATCTGCATAATTTAATAAAGATTCGAGGCAGTCCTCATGTTGTAACTTTTTATTAAGTGACTGTTGAGTGCCATTACAATGGCACTGAATGAGGGGAACTTACAGTGACTCCTCAGAACTATGGCCCTCACAGCATCCCTGCAGTCACAGGATTATGATTTCCGATATTCCCTGCTGACTTCCCGTAAGCAAAGTCATTGGGGAAACTGGTAGGAAATCAGAAGTCACAGAAGTCACAGTCACATGAGGTCCTTCCATAATGATCTGTCTTTACCCAAGGACCACAACCAGAATTGCTGGAATTGTTGTCGCTAAGTGACATGACCACGTGACATGCTTTATGACGGTGTTGCTTAGCAACAGTTTCCCAATTATTCTCATAATCCAAGGACTATCTGCACTTTAGGTAATAGTACTATGAGTAAGAACACCAATAACAATAACGGATAATCCCATTGACCTTTCCTTGCTTTAGAGCACCCTGCTTCACAGCAATGCAAGTGGTGGGCGTATTTTAAGATGTAAACCAATGCCTGAAGCTGGCCCAAGATTTTCGCCTTGCCTTCTTTCCTGATGCTCTGGGGACAACAGAGATGGTTTCTGTGTGTGGGAGCGGAATTGCAAAAGGGAGACTTCATTGCATGCAAGAAGGATATTTCACAAGGGAAGAACAGAGGATGAACAAACAGGTACTTACCATGAAATCCTTCATTTTACAGTTGCTTTCTATACAATCCTGCAAGGAAAATAAGTATTACTTCTATTTCAACATGACCTGATATTTGACTTCACTAATCTCGTTTCTGATGCATAACATTGGCAGCTACATAAATCTTTGAAATAAAGAAATATCAATGCCATTCCTACCATTTTTTAAATCTTATTCTACAGAGGAGATACACACATTTCTTATCAGAGCAAATCATGATTTGGCAAAAAAAGGCACACTTGAATGAACTGTCCCCTAAAACAGTTTGTTTTGTTCTCTTTTCAATATTAATCCACTATCACACAACCGAAACCTGCACAGACAATCTAGTGGAATAATACTTGTATTGAATTTCTGTCTCAAACAAAAGATAGGCTCATGATACAGAAAGATCTTGACAGACTTGAACACTGGGCCCTATCTAACAAAATTATTATTATTAAAGTTATTATTCTATTCTATTCTATTCTATTCTATTCTACTCTACTCTACTCTACTCTACTCTACTCTACTCTACTCTACTCTACTCTACTCTACGCTACGCTACTCTACTCTACTCTACTCTACACTACTCTACTCTATTCTATTCTATTCTATTCTATTAAAATGAAATTAAATGGTGAGAAAAGTTTAGGTAAGAAAAACCACATGCATAGATATAAAATAGGTGGTACTTGGCTCAATAGTAATAACTGCAAGAGGGAACTTGGAGTTCTAGTGAACAATCACTTAAATATGAGCCAGCAGTACAACACTAAAAAAGCAAACGCAATCCTAGACTGCATTAACAGAGGGATGGAATCAAGATCATGCAAATTGTTAGTACCACTTTATAATGCCTTGATAAGACCACACTTGAAATATGGCATCCAATTTTGGTCACCACGTTGAACTCTAGAAAAGGTGCAGAAGAGACCAACAAAGATAATTAGGGGGCTGGAAGCTAAATCATGTGAAGAACAGTTGCAGGAATTGGGTATATCTAGTCTAGTGAAAAGAAGGACTAGGAGTGATATGATAACAGTGTTCCAATATTTGAGGAGATGCCACAAAGAAGAGGAGTTCAACCTGTTCTCCAAAGCACCTGTAGGCAGGACAAGAAGCAATGGATGGAAACTAACTAAGAAGAGAACCAACCTAGAACTTAGGAGATATTTCCTAACGGTGAGAGCAATCAATCAATGGAATAGCTTGCCTTCAGATGTTGTGAGTGCTCCATCATTGGAGGCTTTCAAAAAGAGACTAGACAAACATTTGTCTGAAATAGTATAGGGTCTCCTGCTCAAGTAGACTAAAAGATCTCTGGGATCCCTTCTAACTCTATTATTCTATGTTCTACGTTCTAAAAGTGTGGACTAAGTAACCCAGAGAAAGATTTAGACTTCATTATAATTTTGGATTATTTGAAAAATCCCTCTTTCTGGCTTCCACAATGTTTTCTGTAAAAGAAACCTGGAAAAGGAGATGAGGCAATACACCACCTGACCAATAAAACTGTATTTGGACCACACCAAAATGGGACAGAAATTGCAGGGAGAGAAAGATGTTATCCAGGACAATCTTCTCCAGGGCAAAATGTCCTTGGGGGCAGCTCTGAAAAATCCTTGTCCACACATACAACTTAAATCAGTGGTTCTCAACCTGTGGGTCAGGACCCCATTTGGGGTCGATCGACCATTTCATGGGGGTCGCCAAGCAAGGCTGTCCACCATTTTTTTGTCCGCCATTTTTTTTGTCCGCCATTTTTCCCCTTTTCTGGCGGGTGCCTTACCTCCCTTGGGCTGGGCCAGCTGGTGGTCGGCCTGCTCCGTCTCTGCCGCTTGCCAGCTATGCCTCGGCCGGCGCAGGGGGCGGAAACACGCATGTGCGGCACTCCCGGGCAGGGAAAGTCCTCGACTTACGACCGGTTGGGTAGTCCTCGACTTACGACTGGTTTAGTCCTCGACTTACGACCGGTTTAGTCCTCGACTTACGACCGGTTTAGTCCTCGACTTACGACCAGTTGGGGTCGCGGCATTAAAAAGGTTGAGAACCACTGACTTAAATGAAGTGGGTTTGGGGTCAGGGTTGTTATAACACAGGAATGCTTCACTGCATGCGAGAAGTCTATTATGCAGAACAAAAGGATGAAATTGAAAAAAGAACTACTTACCATTAATTTTTCAAGTTCGTATTCCTCCAAAGCATTCTAAAAAGGAAACAAGCACATCAAATTGTATTCTGAAATGAAGACACCTCGGACCTTTCTATCTGTATCATCATTACCATCTTAGATTTTATTAAATGAATTGCTACTTTCCTCCGCTAAGGAAACACACATTTTTATCAGAACAGTGAGTACTTAGTCTAAAAAAGGCTTTTCTTTTCTTTTATTTCTCTTTTCAATGTTCTTTCACATTCACGGAAATAAAATATGCATTGAGAAACCTGAGGAATAATGGTTGTACCCTATTCATCAGCATATAAGATGAGTGCTTAAAAAAGAAGAGTTTTACCAGGCATGGCACTTGGAGGATAACACACTTTTTTTTTTGTAAAAAAGTTGCATTGGTTTTTTCCATTTTTACAAAAGCTTAGGACACAACGTGGTGGTCAGGGTGACAAATCATTCGAAGACAAAATCATATAAGTATAGCTCAGATTAATTATCAAAAATTTCCTCTCTATTTCCTAAATATAATATTGCTTATTAAAATTAATAGAGTTTTAGGTAAAATTCAATCAAGCAAAAATCATCAATCACATTGTGATTATAATAATCTATATCCTGCTTTTAAGCTTTACTAATTACAGTTCTCAATTACAGCCTGCAATCTCTCCATGAATCCTAGCCACGAGGGTTAGGAGCTCCGTGGAATGGAGAAATCTATTATCCTTTTACTTATGTGATAGGTCCCAATTACAATCTGCATTCCAGAGGAATTTCGGCAATAACTGTGAGTTAATGCCTTGAGGATGCCTAGAATAAAGTAATTTTGAATGATTCATCCATGGAGTTAATTCTGCAATCTCTTTGCTTGAGCCAGGAAAGATGGTAACTGGTTCAACAGCAGTAACTGCGAGAGGGATCTAGGAATCCTAGTGAACAACCATTTATGAGTCAACAATATGCTGCAGCTGCCAAGAAAGCCAATGCAGTTCTAAGCTGCTTCAACAGAGGGATAACCTCAAGATCAACAGAGGGATAGCATCAAGATCAAGTGAAGTGTTAGTACCACTTTATACTGAACTGGTAAGACCACCCTTGGAATTTTGTGTCCAGTTTTGATACAAAAAAGATATTGAAATTCTAGAAATAGTCCAGAGAAGAACAACATATATGATTAGTGGGCCGGAGGCTTAAGCACACGATGAATGGTTACCGGAACTGGGTATGTCTAGTCTAACAAAGAGAAGGACTAGGAGTGACATGATAGCAACCTTCCAATATCTGAGAGGCTGTCACAGAGAAGAACCTATTCTTCAAAGCATCAGAGGGCAGGATAAAAAGTAACAGATGGAAGCCTATCAATGAGAGATCAAACCTAGAATTATGGAGAAATTTTGTGACAGTGAGAAAAATTTATCAACGGAACAGCTTGCTTCCAGACATTGTGGTACTCCATCACTGGAGGTTTTAGAGAAGAGATTGGACAGCCATTTTCCCAGAATGGTGTAGGGTCTCCTGCTTGAGCAGAAGGTTGGACTAGAAGACTTCTAAGGTCACTTCCAACTGTGTTATTCTGAAAATCCCGCAACAGCATCCCAATTCTTTTTCCAACTGCTGCAAGATTGTCAGCTTAAATTCAGAACATTTTCTGGTCCAAAAATGTTCAAAAATGATTTTGGCCATCCTGAGTCCTAAAACATTCAAAGACTCCACACACACCCAGCCACTCTCCAAATGTTGGTGATGGGTGGAAGTGTCTTTTTTTTAAGACTGTGTATTATAGCTTTCATCATAAAACAAGATAACTATCCCCCTAAATATATCCTTGGTATAGCTCAATACTTTGTATAGATCGGCTAAATTTTGGTGGGGTTGAATTCAAAATGGGCTGTGTGATCGTATGCAAGGAAGATATTTCACACGAAAAAGGAAAAAGATGGTCAAAGAGATACTTACTATTATTTGCTCTCGACCTTCCTCACCAATTTCACTCTGCAATGGAAAAAAAGGTTATTAACTCTATTCTCACATGACAACATATCTTCTCCAACCATATTATGTTTGCCATCTCACATATAATAAAAATGATTTCCTTCCTCAAAGTTGGACAGTAGTAATCTGAGTTAGATTTTTACACATTGTTTTGTGGTTTACTGAGTTGGATGATGCAGGTTATTTTGTCACTTTGTCATTTAATATATTATGCAAACCACAGAAAGAGGATTGAATTAGTAGCCAGGATATGTACATTCCATGAGCTCCATAACACTAAGGAGCTAACAAAACAACCTTGAGAAAGATTTTGACTTTATAAAAGAGTACAAGATAAACAATGAGTTACTTACCATAATTTTTCCCATCATTTCACTGCCATCTTCCTAAAAGGGAAGTATAAGGGTATCAGTCTGATGTTCACATAATAACATATATGACTTCTCCAGCTGTTTCGTTCCTACATAGGACACATATGAATGACTGCATTCTCCAAATAGGAAAGACATATTTTTTATTAAAAGTTGGAGTGACAGGGCCAAAAACCCCAAACATGAATTAATAAATATTCTGAGACTTTGTTTTACCTTTCCTTTCTCTTTTCAATATTCTTCCATATTCACACAACTGCAAAATATGCATAGAGATACATACAGATTCAAGAGTTTTCGGGGTGGGGTGGGGGGGTTCCACTTCTTTTTTTATTAATGTATTTATTTACTCATGCAATTTCTCTGCTATTTTTCTTTTTCTTTTTTTCCCCTTTTCATTTTTTTCACCTTGTATTGTAGATATTAATAATAGTTTAAAATACATTATAAGATATAGGAGAGAATAATATTTTAATCCTGACCCTAATGGTCTCTGTTCCCCCTCTTTTCTTTCTTTCTTTCTTTCTTTCTTTCTTTCTTTCTTTCTTTCTTTCTTTCTTTCTTTCTTTCTTTCTTTCTTTCTTTCTTTCTTTCTCTTTCTTTCTTTCTTTCTTTCTCTCTCTCTCTCTCTCTCTCTCTCTCTCTCTCTCTCTCTCTTTCTTTCTTTCTTTCTTTCTTTCTTTCTCTCTTTTTCTTTCTTTCTTTATAATAATAATAATAATAATAATAAAGTTGGAAGGGACCTTGGAGGTCATCAAGTCCAACCTCCTGCTCAGGCAGGTAACCCTATACCATTTCAGACAAATGGCTGTTCAGTTTCTTCTTAAAATCTTCCAGTGTTGGAGCATTCACCGCTTCTGGAGGCAGGTTGTTCCACTGGTTAATTGTTCTAACTGTCAGGAAGTTTCTCCTTAGTTCCAGGTTGCTTCTCTCCTTGGTTAATTTCCATCCATTGCTTCTCTCTCTCTCTCTCTCTCTCTCTCTCTCTCTCTCTCTCTCTCTCTCTCTCTCTCTCTCTCTCTCTCTCTCTTTCTTTCTTTCTTTCTTTCTCTGTCTCTTTCATTCTCAGATTGCCATTGTTCGGGGTGGCATAGATGGAGAGGACAGAGAGAGAATCATTCCACTTGTAGTCAGGGGAGAGGGTGACACTCCACAGAGTCAAGGTAGACCTTTTTTCAAATTGTGGAGAGGCGAAGCCCAAAACGTTTGCCATCATTACATTATTTGCTCCCAGGGAAGCTCTATTTCCTCATCCAAAAAACTAAGAGAAAATAAAGTGGTGGGGGGAGAATCCCAATGATGAGAGAGAACCTTCTAGTGCTGTCCATTGTTTTACTTCGTTTTTATTTTAGCTCCTCAGTCAAATATTCCTTGGGTACCAGTTATTGTATATGGACTTTGGGGAAAATTTTTTAAATATGTTTAAATCAATCTACTCTAAGCAGGTGGCCAGAGTAATAATTAATGGAGAACTGACGGATAGCTTTCAAATCCAAAAAGGTACGAGGCAAGGTTGCCCACTATCACCACTGCTGTTTATACTATCTCTTGAGGTACTAACTAGAGTAATTCGACA